CTGAGTGTCGGAGTGTCTAGTGTCCGAGTGTCTAGTGTCAGAGTGTCTAGTGTCTCAATGTCTGAGTGTCTAGTGTCCGAGTGTCTGAGTGTCTGAGTGTCTGAGTGTCTGAGTATCTAGTGTCTAGTGTCTGAGTGTCTGAGTGTCTAGTGTCCGAGTGTCTAGTGTCCGAGTGTCTAGTGTCTGAGTGTCTGAGTGTCTAGTGTCCGAGTGTCTAGTGTCTGAGTGTCTAGTGTCCGTGTGTCTAGGGTCCGAGTGTCTAGTGTCTAGAGTGTCTAGTGTCTAGTGTCTGAGTATCTAGTGTCCGAGTGTCTAGGGTCCGAGTGTCTAGTGTCTAGTGTCTGAGTGTCTAGTGTCTGAGTGTCTAGTGTCTGAGTGTCTAGTGTCTAATGTCTGAGTGTCTAGTGTCTGAGTGTCTAGTGTCCGAGTGTCTAGTGTCTGAGTGTCGGAGTGTCTAGTGTCTGAGTGTCTGAGTGTCTAGTGTCCGAGTGTCTAGTGTCTGAGTGTCTAGTGTCCGTGTGTCTAGGGTCCGAGTGTCTAGTGTCTAGTGTCCGAGTGTCTAGTGTCTAGTGTCTGAGTATCTAGTGTCCGAGTGTCTAGGGTCCGAGTGTCTAGTGTCTAGTGTCTGAGTGTCTAGTGTCTGAGTGTCTAGTGTCTAATGTCTGAGTGTCTAGTGTCTGAGTGTCTAGTGTCCGAGTGTCTAGTGTCTGAGTGTCTAGTGTCAGAGTGTCTAGTGTCTGAGTGTCGGAGTGTCTAGTGTCTGAGTGTCTAGTGTCCGAGTGTCTAGAGTCTGAGTGGCCGAGTGTCTAGTGTCCGAGTGTCTGAGTATCTGAGTGTCTAGTGTCCAAGTGTCTAGTGTTTGTCTAGTGTCTGAGTGTCTGAGTGTCTAGTGTCCGAGTGTCTAGTGTCTGAGTGTCTAGTGTCCGTGTGTCTAGGGTCCGAGTGTCTAGTGTCTGGTGTCTCGAGTGTCTAGTGTCTAGTGTCTGAGTGTCTAGTGTCCGAGTGTCTAGGGTCCGAGTGTCTAGTGTCTAGTGTCTGAGTGTCTAGTGTCTGAGTGTCTAGTGTCTAATGTCTGAGTGTCTAGTGTCTGAGTGTCTAGTGTCCGAATGTCTAGTGTCTGAGTGTCTAGTGTCCGAGTGTCTAGTGTCTGAGTGTCGGAGTGTCTAGTGTCTGAGTGTCTAGTGTCCGAGTGTCTAGAGTCTGAGTGGCCGAGTGTCTAGTGTCCGAGTGTCTAGTGTCAGAGTGTCTAGTGTCTAGTGTCTCAATGTCTAGTGTCTAGTGTCCGAGTGTCTGAGTGTCTAGTGTCTGAGTATCTAGTGTCCGAATGTCTAGTGTCTGAGTGTCTAGTGTCCGAGTGTCTAGTGTCAGAGTGTCTGAGTGTCTAGTGTCCGAGTGTCTAGTGTCTGAGTGTCTAGTGTCCGAGTGTCTAGTGTCCGAGTGTCTAGTGTCCGAGTGTCTAGGGTCCGAGTGTCTAGTGTCTAGTGTCTGAGTGTCTAGTGTCCAAGTGTCTAGTGTCTGAGTGTCTAGTGTCCAAGTGTCTAGTGTCTGAGTGTCTAGTGTCTAGTGTCCGAGTGTCTAGGGTCCGAGTGTCTAGTGTCCGAGTGTCTAGTGTCCGAGTGTCTAGTGTCTAGTGTCCGAGTGTCTAGTGTCCGAGTGTCTAGTGTCTGAGTGTCGGAGTGTCTAGTGTCCGAGTGTCTAGTGTCAGTGTCTAGTGTCTAGTGTCTCAATGTCTAGTGTCCGAGTGTCTAGAGTCTGAGTGTCCGTGTGTCTAGGGTCCGAGTGTCTAGGGTCCGAGTGTCTAGTGTCTAGTGTCCGAGTTTCTAGTGTCCGAGTGTCTAGTGTCTGAGTGTCTAGTGTCCGAGTTTCTAGTGTCCGAGTGTCTAGTGTCTGAGTGTCTAGTGTCCGAGTGTCTAGTGTCCGAGTGTCTAGTGTCTGAGTGTCCAGTGTCCGTGTGTCTAGTGTCCGAGTGTCTAGTGTCTAGTGTCCGTGTGTCTAGGGTCCGAGTGTCTAGGGTCCGAGTGTCTAGTGTCTAGTGTCCGAGTGTCTAGTGTCCGAGTGTCTAGGGTCCGAGTGTCTAATGTCTAGTGTCTGAGTGTCTAGTGTCCGAGTGTCTAGTGTCTGAGTGTCGGAGTGTCTAGTGTCTGAGTGTCTAGTGTCCGAGTCTCTAGAGTCTGAGTGTCCGAGTGTCTAGTGTCCGAGTGTCTGAGTGTCTGAGTATCTAGTGTCCAAGTGTCTAGTGTCCGAGTGTCTAGTGTCTGAGTGTCGGAGTGTCTAGTGTCCGAGTGTCTAGGGTCCGAGTGTCTAGTGTCCGAGTGTCTAGGGTCCGAGTGTCTAGTGTCTAGTGTCTGAGTGTCTAGTGTCCGAGTGTCTAGTGTCTGAGTGTCGGAGTGTCTAGTGTCCGAGTGTCTAGTGTCAGTGTCTAGTGTCTAGTGTCTCAATGTCTAGTGTCTAGTGTCCGAGTGTCTAGAGTCTGAGTGTCCGAGTGTCTAGTGTCCGAGTGTCTAGTGTCTGAGTGTCTGAGTGTCTAGTGTCCGAGTGTCTAGTGTCTGAGTGTCTAGTGTCCGAGTGTCTAGTGTCCGAGTGTCTAGTGTCTGAGTGTCTAGTGTCCGTGTGTCTAGGGTCCGAGTGTCTAGGGTCCGAGTGTCTAGTGTCTAGTGTCCGAGTGTCTAGTGTCCGAGTGTCTAGGGTCCGAGTGTCTAGTGTCTAGTGTCTGAGTGTCTAGTGTCCGAGTGTCTAGTGTCCGAGTGTCTAGAGTCTGAGTGTCCGAGTGTCTGAGTGTCTGAGTGTCTGAGTGTCTAGTGTCCAAGTGTCTAGTGTCCGAGTGTCTAGTGTCTGAGTGTCGGAGTGTCTAGTGTCCGAGTGTCTAGTGTCAGTGTCTAGTGTCTAGTGTCTCAATGTCTAGTGTCTATGGTCCGAGTGTCTAGAGTCTGAGTGTCCGAGTGTCTAGTGTCCGAGTGTCTAGTGTCCGAGTGTCTAGTATCTGAGTGTCTGAGTGTCTAGTGTCCGAGTGTCTAGTGTCCGAGTGTCTAGGGTCCGAGTGTCTAGTGTCTAGTGTCTGAGTGTCTAGTGTCTGAGTGTCTAGTGTCTGAGTGTCTAGTGTCTAATGTCTGAGTGTCCGACACACAGACAATCAGACACTAGACACTCGGACACTAGACACTAGACACTCACTAGACACTCAGACACTAGACACTAGACACTAGACACTCGGACACTAGACACTAGACACTAAACACTCGAACACTAGACACTCAGACACTCAGACCCACAGACACTAAACACTGGGGCACTAAACATTCGGACACTAGACTCGTTATGACGAGTTAAACGAGCCCAACACAATGTGGGTAGATCTCTAGGCGCAGGGTTGCCATTAAAATAATTAATTGTTACTCAAATGTTAATTTTTTTTTTTTCAAACCTATAGAACTTTCTTCATTGTACTCAAGCACCAATTTATATCAATTTCTCTACATTTTGCCATGTAACCACAAAGAGAACGACGAAAAAATACTATGCTAATTATATAACGCTGTCTGATTTACATATACCACAAATGTAAAAAAAAAATAATAAAAAAAAAATAAGCAAACTTCTCCAAAGCTTTTTGACTTATTTTCAAACAATTTATCAAGATTTTTTGTTTCGGCAACAACTAATTTTTATCCATAATTGCGACAAAAGTACCCAATCTGGCAACGATGTATTTAGAAATTTCAGGTAAACGGGTAAAACAGATTTAGTAGTGCACTAAATAGAAACAGCGCCATCTGTGAAATGATGTGTACAAACTTGTAGCACGACCGCGTTAACAAACAATGCTAATTAGATCGAAGCACAATAGTTTCTTGGTAAAAATAAAACAATTTTTGAATTTTAATATAACTAATGAGTTTTGGTTTAAGAATTTATTTTATTCATTTTTACGTTTTTAGGAGGTTTTTAAAATAAAAGTATGTTTTTAAAATAAATGATTTTGTTCGTTTTCTGAAACTTACGGAAGCAATAATAGTAAATCGCGACTAGTATCGCCATCTATTAAAAATTTTTCCGTGCGGCCATTATTTTTTCGTCTTCGTGTCCCCCTGCTTGGGTCTAGCTACGGCCCTGTGCCAACGATATAAAGTTTTTTTTGCCCTACCTTAAACTTGGGTCTAGCTACGGCCCTGTGCCAACGATATAAAGTTTTTTTTGCCCTACCTTAAACTTGGGTCTAGCTACGGCCCTGTGCCAACGATATAATTTTCATTTCTATGCAGAAACGAAACATAAATAGTTATCAAAGCATTAAAATTTTATTACGAATAGAAGGAAAAAGATATTTTTGAATCTATGGAACTCTATCCTATTACATTATACCAAGGGTTAATGTATTTAATTAAAAAAAAAAAAAATGTTTAATGTAATTTATACTGGATTGAATTGAAAGAATTCGTTTAAGGATGACACTCAATTTTTTTTGAAAAACGTGTGTCGAAAACGTAGCGCGTCCAACTATCACGTTAGTATGTATATGGGATTGTAATTTTTTGTCGTTTTCCTATTTTTTTCTTATACTACTAGGGTAGCAAACAAGCATACGGCCGTCTGATGGTAAACGGAGTTACCGTAGCTTATGGACGCCTGTAACACCAATTTAAGTTAAAAGTTTATTATTATTTTTTCTATGGAAGTCGCTACTCACTTTTGGCCACAACAGAATATCAGTGTTTTGCTCTTTTTAGGGCAAAGCAACAAGCTGAGTTGTGACCATTTTGTGTTACTGTGGCACACGCGTGAAGGGGAAAATAGTTACTTACTTTATAGTAGTAGCTCTAGCTAGTTTAACATCTTCAAGAGTCCTAGCTAATCGTCTTAGTAACAGACTTGATGTCTCTAGCCATCCAACAAGCTTGTATCCGAAACAGCTTTAATACGCTAAGTATATCCTTATATATAATATATATATATATGTATAAAATCATGTGGTAATATTGAATGTTTTTTCCCGCAACACTAACCTAACATCCGGATTATTGTCTTCCTGGATTGCGCCTGTCTTGCCTCTCCGTGGACACTCCCATTCACACCGTTCAGGGTCCCTGGACTGCCAGGTTTGTTAGTGTGTGTCGACCTGAAACAAATTAAACACTGTGAACTACCAAATCTATGGTATATAAAAATAATTTAAAACACTATAACTATATAGATAACTCTATACAAAATTTGTGATTTCATTTTCCAAATCTGTATAGGTCATTCTTTTTTTTTATTTTCAATTCTTCTAAGAATTTAAGACAAAGACATTCTTTTAAACATGTAAAGAGATATTAGATGATATTTCGTAATAACTCGACTACACATATCAGAGATTTCAAGCCGGCTGGTAGAAACCTCTGGCGATCAGAAGGCTGACCTATACTTTGGTCACCGCATCTCCATAGCTATTCAGCGTGGAAATGCAGCAAGTCTCCTAGGTACCCTACCAGCTGACAGTGATCTTAAGGAAATTTTCTATCTTTAACTATTTAAATTTATTCCATTAGAAACATTTATTTAGATAGGTATCTAGTAATATAATTTTTTATGCTATTTATTTTAGAATATCCATACCTACGCTTAATATTGCGATTAGAGTTTGTAATTAAATTCACATAAATAAAAATAAATAAAATAAAAAAATATTATTATACTACACATATTTTTAACATCTATTTATTACCAGTATAATATTTTTGTGGTAGACCGACAGTTTATTGTAATTATTTTAAATTTAACTACCATTTGATTTACACTAAATGGTAGTAAAGTTATGGCGGCATGATTTCATTAGACAGAGGCGTGCTAATTGCAACCAACTTAGCAGCGGGACTGCTGTCCCCGTATGATCCTGGGCATATAATAGGCCACTCCTCCTTTTTCTTTAGGTAAAAGAACTTAATAGTCGAAGATATCACACTATGCAAATAAGGGTTGCCTGCATCTAAAGTTTTGTTCTTTTTAAAATCATGGATTTCAGCGAATTGGTTATTTTTGGTCAAAAGCTACACTAAATGGATGTTAAATCTATAGGACAACATAGGGTTGCCTATAAAAAATCACCTCAAGTAAGGGCTGCGACCTAGCAACCTGATTGCGGCTAAATGAGAGCAGGCAACCCGGAAGGATGACGTTTTGCTTCACAATATACCAAAGATTCCGGAATTACCCATTCTACTTATTGACGTGACATTTCTCGTTCTAAATTCAAATATTTGAATAAATAAAGAAGTTATTAAGGAATCGTAACTATTTATAACGCAAAATTGTATGAAAGAGTTGACACATTTTTTTTGTAGCTTTATTTATAGAGACACTCTGTCTATATAATCGAAGATTTACCTATAAAAGTGGATAATATATTATCCAGGAATTGTCATGGGACGCATGGCTGATTTAATCAAAGCAAGTACGAATAATCTTAGCGTGAGATGACCGATAATGGCTGTACCATTAATATAGATAAGTGGCTCTCGTACTGTTTCTAAGCCAATGCTTCCGTGCACACGACACAGGCAGATAACACGTTTGGCTTGATAATACGGGTTTGACATCTCTATTTTCTTTCTTTCCTCTTAACCAACTTCAAAAAAGGAGGAAGTTTTCGATTCGGTCCTACTTCTTTATGTTAGTTTGCCTAAAATACTGATTTGTATTTTTTTTTACTTAAAAGAATATATTTTTAGACCAAAGATTTCGGAATAGAATAGATGGAATACATAATTCACATAGTATGTTACTCGTTGTATTTATGACATTGCCAATGCGTTAGAGAGGGATAGACATATAAAAACTAAAGATTTCGGTAGATTGGTTTCATAGCCTATTGTCGAAATCATTCCAGTAGTTTGGTTTTTAAATTAAATTTAGGTATTTACGATTTTTTTGAACAAAATATACTCGAGTTTTAAATGATAATATTATTGTTGTAATACTAGTTATATTTAACGGCTTTTTTCACGTGAATCAATATAACAACATAATAATGCTATATGTATACATTTGTGCAGCGAACATGCAATTAAATATGTATATTTCTTCATGAAGAAGCCTATACCCAACAACGGCGTGAATTTACAGGTTACAAAAGTACAATACCTTATTCCTCAGGGATGGAAACCCTCATGCGGGTATCATGGGCGAAACAGTTTACTTTGTTACGTCCATGATGCTGCTCACGTCTATAGGCGACGGTTACCACTTTCCATCAGGTGCACCGTCAGTTTGTTTGCCATTCTAAGTTGTATAAAAAAAAGCCTTGTCCTGGCTATTTACAAATACACCAAAAAAGGATTGATCGATTAGGTACAGGTTTTCTTCTTTTATAATAGAATAGAATAGAATAGAATAGAATAGAATAGAAATCATTTATTCAAATAAACTTACATTGAAGCACTTTTGAAAAGTCATTACATTTTTTTTAATTTACCGCTCGTTCGGAAAGATGTCTCATCACAAGAAGAACGAGCAAGAAACTTTCGTGATGCTCTTTTAAATAATTTTATTATTATTTTACATTTTTAAGTTTAATTGTGTGAATACAAACCACCAATTAGCACTAATTCAATTAAATACTCAAAAAGAAAAAAAAAAAAATTGAATACATAACCAACTGGTTAAACAATTAATAAGAGGAAATCAGTCATAGTGATTAGAGCAGACCAGTCCCTACAAGCAGCACCCGTTCACGAGTATGACGGATGAGCCAGCCATCACTGCGCTCGACCATATTTTAGGGAGCCCCATGACCCGGCCCACCACGCCGCCACAAGTCTGGACATTTTAGTGAGCATGACTACTCAAAACACTAGACCACGTCAAAGCTACTCACAATTGCCATCTGATAGTTATAGTATTCACATTTTACATAAGAATGCATGCGGCAATTAATACAAAAAACCGCTACGCTTTCATATTTCTAAAATTAATCAATTAAATCAAGAAAGCAATGAGAAAATAAAATTATAACGTTGTATGCTAATAAACTAATTATTTACTTGATATGTTGTCATCTATGAATTCGTCTATCCTGTAATAGGCTTTCTTACATAAAAATTGTTTAATATAAGATTTGAATTGCCTCTCTGTCAGATTTAATATATATATATATATATATATATATATATATATATATATATATATATATATATATATTGTGCAGACGGCATTTAGGTAAAATAAGCTTATTTATATTGCGTAAGTTTCTACTTGTACAGTCTTTGAGTTTTTAAAACTCGCTAAGTTCTATATATACATAATATTTTCATAAATGTATTGTGAAGTAACTGTGAGGATATTTGAGTCTTTAAAGCACTGACGTAATGACTCTCTTGAACCCATACCATAAATAGAACGTATGGCTCTCTTTTGTAAAACAAATATAGTATTTATATCGGCTGCTTTACCCCACAGCAGTATGCCATAAGACATTATGCTATGGAAATAACTAAATATATGTTGAATAATGTTCATATGTTCATCGTGTCCTATCAAATGTCCTAACATTTTTTCCCATCCGATCACAATAGTTTTTATAATTTTGCTGAAACTGCGCAGAGATGTTGCATCTCTGTGCATCTTCTACCGAATTTATCATGGGGAGTGTTCTGAGAAATTGTTCGGATTGATACCTGCTGCTGATTTTCACCACCGTACAACCCGCCACAAACTAAAATTTCATCCCAATCATCTGGACGAGTGGCGGTCTTCCACCGTGCGTTTTTCAAGGCGCTTTCTTCCACGCATAACCATTCTTTAGAATCAACTTCCAGCAGCAGTATTTCCGAACCGATACGACAACACAACCTTCAAGAAAAGAGTATATTCCTTTTTAAAAGGCCGGCAGCACACCTGCAATGCCGCTGGTGTTATGGGTGATCATGGGCGGCGGTAGTCACTTACCATCAGGTGAGCCGCATGCTAGTTTGCCCCCTGTGTTGTAAAAAAAAAATTGTCCTATCCTATCCTATTTTCATGTATAATAAAGGTAACCTAGAAAGTCTTGACAGTAGAGGGCGTCGTCCTCAGACGAGTAACAGTAGCTTCTTGCTGAGATTTTCCCATGAGAATACAATATTGCTAGTTTCTATTAATTACAGTAACCACTTACCATTAAGCGGTATATAAGCTTGTCAGCTGAATGAGATGGATGGTCTATTAAGCCCACTTTGGGGCCATGAATTGACAGAGTACGTTAATACATCTATGCAATAGGTATTTATATTGATATACTAGTTGTACTGTTGTTTTTGTTAGGTATGGTGGGCTATAATACACTTGAAGTAAGACGAAAGCTAAATTTAATTGAATATGTGGTAAAATTAGTGCGGGGGGAAAAGTAGTAACCAAACTGTACTGGAATCAATATCAATAGGAGCGCCCAGTAACACAGCACACGTCGACGGCACTTATTCGATGTTCCATTACGAAGAACAGAGTTCGCTAAGCAGGCTCCCCTATCTCTTGCATTGAAACTACTCAATGATGTTTTGAGCCAGTATCCGCAATTGGATGTATTTGCCTCCAACTTGCTGGAGTTTCGTCGGGTGACCACAGAGTAGATAGATAGATACTCTTTATTGTTTCCTCCAAAAGATTACATTATTATTATAAATATAAATAATTAAAAGAAATAATCACAATGAGAAAACAATGGGCGACCTTATCGCTAAGAGCGATCTCTTCCAGGCAACCTTTGGATGGAGAGGAGTAATTATAAACAGTTTGGTGGGAGGCACGATGAAAAATTTTGTTAGTTCTAAATATGGGAGATGTGATACATATAATAATATAAATATTATCCCTACTCATTATTATATTTATATACATACACCTACACACACATATACATATATATACATACACATACATACATACATATATATATATACACATACATACATATATATACATATACATACCATACACATACAAATACATATACATACATGGACATAAACGCCTACACAAATACATAAAAATATATAAATACTGTTCACGAAAAGTATGCAAGTAATAAGTATGCTAACCAGACATATAAACACATTAAGAAGATGACAACTTGCTCAAATAATAGTTCTTCAGTTTTGCTTTAAA